TATTGCAAATCTCTTTTCATGTAATTGAACCAAATAGCTAGAAATCAATTGTGACATAAAATTATATCTATTAATATAAATGCTGAAGATTTACTATATATTATTAATTATTAATATATTATCTTTATATCAACTCCGCCTATGTTGTATAGCCGGTCCCAAGCCCGGATAAAGGAGGAGGGTTGTGTTAGGCCCTCGACAGCCAACGTAAAAACCCGTCGAATCTCATGAACATGGATCAACGAAGTAATTATGCTAATGCTAGGTCGTTGCCCAGATGTGACGCGCTGTATGGCTCGAGTACAGTGAGAAATGAGCTAGAGCCGCTGCATCGTCGCCCGGATGTAGTGTTAAATGAGCAAGGGCTACCGCACTCTCTTGGACGGAGGCGGCTAAAGAAGTTAGTTCATGAGACTGAGATTAGATTTGGCACTTGGAATATTGGGACGTTAAATGAGAAATCTATGGAAGTAGCAGGAGTTATGAGGGACAGAAGGATTAATATCTTATGCCTCCAAGAAACCAAATGGACTGGAGAAGCTGCCAAGGAACTTGGAGAGTATAAACTTTGGTACACAGGAAAGGTGAGCACAAGGAATGGGGTTGGTATCATCGCTGATGGGACATGGAAAAAAACGTGGTAGAGGTTAAAAGGTTTGAGGACAGAATAATATCGTTAAGAGTAATTGTTGGAAAGGATACTATCAATATCATTAGTGCCTATGCACCTCAGGTTGGGGCAGAGACACACCTTAAAGATAAGTTTTGGAAGATATGGAGGGCTTGGTTCAAAGCATACCACTCGAAGAAAAAAATTTTATCGGTGGGGACCTTAATGGACATGTTGGTAAAGAAGCAGGACAATTCAGTAGGGCCCATGGTGGTTTTGGTTTTGGGGAGCTTAATAGTGGAGGACAATCTATTCTCGATTTTTCTCTTGCATACGATCTTAAGATTGTCAACACTTGTTTTAAGAAGCGAGAGGAGCATTTAATCACGTACAAAAGTGGTGTCTCAAAATCACAGATTGATTTCTTTTTGGTTAAGAATCCGGACAGAAGATTGTGTACTAATTGCAAAGTGATTCCAGGAGACGGGGTGAGTACCCAACATAGAGTACTTATCCTTGATGTATGTTTTAAGAGTACCAGGCAAAAGTACCATCAAGTGGCAAAACCCAGGATTAAGTGGTGGCAGTTAAAAGGAGAGAAGCAGGAGTTATTCAAAAGGACTCTTTTGAAGGAAGGGAATTGGGAGTTGCAGGGAAATGCAAACATGATGTGGGAAGAGATAGCTTCAAGGGTTCGTTTGGTAGCTAAAGCAATTTTGGGAGAATCCAAAGGTCCTGGTCAAAGAGATAAGGAGACTTGGTGGTGGAATAAGAGTGTGCAAGAGAAAGTCAAACAGAAAAAGATTGTTTTAAGGCCATACACTTGTGCAATAGTGTAGAGAACCAGGAAAAGTATCAGTTGGCTAAAAAGAGACAAAGAGAGCAGTGAGCGAAGCACGTACTAAAGCTTATGAAGGGTTTTATCAGGAGTTAGGAACAAAGACGGGAGAAAGAAATATTTACAAGATCGCGAAGCAAAGGGAGAGGAAAAAGAGAGATCTGGACCAAGTAAAGTGTATAAAGGATGAAGATGGTAAAGTGTTAGTTACTGATGGTGATATTAAGGACAGATGGGAGGCTTACTTTTACAAGTTGTTTAATGAGGGAAGCAATTATGCGACTCAGGACTTGCAGGACTTGCTAATTAACGAAGATGATCGGAATTTGGCTTTCTACCGCAGGATACGTATCGGAGAGGTTAAGGCGGCTCTCAAGAAAATGGACAATGGAAAAGCCGTTGGGCCTGATGGTATCCCTATTGAAGTTTGGAAATGTTTGGGCGATGAGGGGGAGGCGTGGCTAACCAAGCTTTTTAATGAAATTCTACGCTCTAAAAATATGCCGGATGAGTGGAGGAAAAGCATTTTAGTTCCTATTTACAAGAATAAAGGAGACATTCAAAACTGTGCAAGCTACAGGGGGATAAAACTTATGAGTCATACAATGAAGTTGTGGGAAAAAGTGATGGAATATAGATTGAGGTTGGAGACTTCTATTTCGGAAAACCAATTTGGATTTATGCCAGGGAGATCCACATCGGAAGCAATCTATTTACTAAGGGGGTTAATGGAGAGATATAGAAGTAAAAGAAGAGATTTACATATGGTTTTTATTGACCTGGAAAAGGCTTATGATCGTGTGCCAAGAGAAGTATTGTGGAAGGCTTTGGAAAAGAAAGGTGTACGGGTTGCGTATATCAAAGTCATACAAGATATGTATGAGGCGGTAACTACCAGTGTAAGGACGCCTGGGGGGAGACAAAGGACTTCCCTATTAAGATTGGCCTACATCAGGGATCCTCTTTGAGTCCGTACTTGTTCAACATTGTTCTGGATGTTCTAACTAAACCTGTTCAAGAAAGAATCCCTAAGTCCATGCTCTTCGCGGATGATATAGTTCTTATGGCGGAATCAAAAGAAGAGATTAACACTAGTTTGGAGTTATGGAGAAGGACTTTGGAGTCGAAAGGTTTCCGTTTGAGTAGGAACAAAACAGAATATATGCATTGTGATTTTGGAGGGAGGCAAGGTAATAGGGATTTGGAGGTGAGGATGGGAGAGCAAATTATTCCTCAAGTATCAAAGTTTAAATACCTAGGATCCATTATACAGGAGGATGGGAAATTGATGGAGACATTTCTCATAGAATACAAGCTGGCTGGTTAAAGTGGAGGAAAGCTACCGGAGTTATTTGCGATAAGAAGGTACCTGAGAAACTTAAAGGAAAATTTTATCGGACTGCTATAAGACCAGCTATGATGTATGGTAGTGAATGTTGGGCAATAAAGGGAAAACAAGAGCACAAAGTCGGAGTAGCAGAAATGAGGATGTTGAGATGGATGTGTGGTCATACAAGAAAAGATAGGATTCGAAATGAAAAGATCAGGACAAGAGTCGGTGTGGCACCTATCCAAGAGAAAATGGTTGAAAATCGCTTAAGATGGTTTGGACATGTGCAGAGAAGGCCTTTGGAGGCCCCGTGAGGAGGGTGGATCAAACAAGATGGAGTCCCATAAAAAGAGGCAGGGGAAGACCGAGAAGAACGCTGAATGAGGTCATTGAACGAGACCTCCTAATCAACAACATATCTAAGGATTGGGTTGTTGACAGAGCACGATGGCGTCGTGTGATTCATGTAGCCGACCCCATCTAGTGGGATAAGGCTTGTTGTTTGTTGTTTGTTTGTTTATATTATCTTTATATCAAAACAAATTAAAGATTTTTTGTATTATAAAGGCAATAAAAGTATTTATATCACAAGATTGTGCTTATTTTTAAAGATAAAAATTATTATAAATCTTAAAATATTAATGATTTATTTAGCCATTTAAGACCGGTCATTAATATTATTTATAAATATAAGCATGTTATTCCCAGTAATATTCTATTATAACTAGAGGAGATATGATATTATTATTTGGAAAAATTACAAATAAAGAACCTTAAATATGTAAAATTACAATTTGGGATTTTGAATTTAGAAAATAACAAACAAGGACTCGATTTCACTTTTGCAAATTTGAAATGTGGGTGAAATGTCTGAAATACCCCTCATCCAAATGACAAGTTGATTATGAGAAATGACAAGTTCATTTTAGCGAATGACAACTTCAATAGACCAAATCACAACTTGGCTGAGGGTATGCAAAATGACGAATTGACGTTGGGAAATGGCAAGTTCACTTTAACAAATGACAACTTAAATAAACCAAATCACAATTTTGTAGTGAAGGAATTAGCTAAGCGCACGGAGGGTGGAAGGATCCTTTCAATGAGACGTTGACTGATTCCAGTCGTACGAATTGCAGTGGCAGCATAGTGGAAGTTTCTAGGAGATGCCATGGCGCGAAATGCCAGAGGCAATACTGTTGAGGATGCATGGCGAAGCATGGAGTACATAGCCATTTCTCAGTGGGAGGGGGCTTTTGCGGGGTAGAAGAAAGGCGCAAGGGTTTTTGCACGACTGAGTTAGGGTTTTAGGGTCCTCGGTCTATGGCTTATGCTTATAAGCTCCATTGATCACGTGACACACACGTGAATGGCGGGTTTATGCTTGTTTGCCGTGATTAATGTTTTTCGGCTCTCGGGGAGGTGTCTCGGTGAAACAAAAATCATGTTAAAAAAATATTTTTATATTAATTGAAATAAAAATTTTCTTACATATTTATTTTGTATAATATAAAATTACTTTTAACAATTTTGATCTCATTTTGAGTTTTAGAGATTTGAATTGTGATTTGATGATATTGGAATAAAGACATTTATTTATTTAAAAAATTTGTACCTTCTCTCGTTTTTTTTAGTAAGTGTACCTTCTCCTTAATTAAGGCTCAACTGACAAAATTCCATGGATGGAATTCGAATCCGTAATGAGGCTCTAAGCCAAGTCTCATGGAAGCCCAGCAAAAACAAATTGGTGTGTCCGTGAAAGGTGTGCAATCTTTTTATTTTTCTTAACTTGTATTTTTTTTGCCACTTCAAAGTTCAATGTACGCATGTTCCATGTGTTAATGTGTAGTATAATCATTTTTTTGGGGAAATCTTAACATAAATTTGGGATCAATGTTAGTATCAATGAATTGATATATATAATAATTATGAATTACAAAATATACAGGAAGTTACATTTTTTTTTTGGCTAAATAAGAATTCAGATTAATATTAGCACATTTGGTCTCGATGATGAGCCCTTCTAGGTGTAATGTTGGGTTCCTGAACTCAAATACAGGAATGAAAAGAAGCAGAAATGAAATTATTTACAAACTAGTGACAACATTGCTTGACCTCAAACTTGGTGCAGCTTGTTCTAACAACTTTTATATATGTTATCTTGTTAACAATTAAATAATTGCAATATGATTTTGTTAGGTTTTATATAACTAAATAATATATATATACATTATACATATAATATTTATTCAGGGGTCATATAGTTCACATTAGACTCCAGACACATTGTCAGGGGTCACAATGTAATCTTTCAATAAATCATGCAGTTGTTGAAAGACTAACCACATTAGTCATCCAATAATCCATAAACAGAAATTGCAGCCAATGATCAAACGTATTTAAGGACCGGTTTTGCTGAGAAATTGAAGAGAGTCTACAAATCTCCACTTTCCCAGAGCCCCTACTCCTACTCACTCAAAAGGCCAAAAGAAACTTCACTCTTCTTCCTTCGGCTTGTCCAATTGGTCATTCAGCCTAATGCTCAAATTTCACCATCCCAGAATTCCTCAATAGATCTGTATACTCCATAAGTTTCATGGACAAATGTAGTACCCCTGATTAATCTTGCCTGCAAAATATGAACCATTGTCAGGATAATCAAGACTTTATATACCATAGTTGTTATCGCATTCACATTATTTATTATCAGTTCACGTCTTGAAATAGCAAAAAGAGTGAAGATAAACATAAAAAATTAACCTGTGTAATCGCAGAAAATTTCTCAAACAAGTCCTCAGGTATCGACCAGTCAAAAACATCAAAGTTCTCTTTTATCCTTGCTTCATTTGTACTCTTAGGAAGCACGCTGTGACCCATTTGCAGTCCCCAACGAAGAGCTACCTGTGCAGGAGTCTTGCCTAATCTCTCCGCAATCATGTTCAGGGTTGGATGCTTCAGAACATCACTCTGAAGCCAGGTTGTCCCGGGAGAACCTAATGGAGAATATCCCTAGCCATGTGCAATTCGAAATTCAATTCAAGGAATGAAACTAGATTTTAAGGCCAACTTGCCGACTCTTAAAAATCCAACATAAATAACAGCCACTTTTCAGGCAGATTTATTGAGGGTAATTCAGAAACAGAGGACTTACAGAGAGGTGTACACCCTTGGACTTGCAGAAAGCCCGCAGTTTGTCCTGCTGCCATGAAGGATGACATTCTACCTGGTTGACAGCAGGAGGTATGCGTGCTACCTCCAGCAAGTCCCCCAGCTTCTTGCATGAGAAATTGCTTACACCTATAGCTCGAGCCTTGCCAGAGTCGTAGAGTTCTTCCATTGCCTTCCATGTGCTAGGTATGTTGGGTGGCACAAGATTTTCGGGACCAAAGCCCACAGATCCCTTCTTCATGGAAGCTGGCCAATGGATCTTGGAAGGAAAAATTATCAATTTACAATTGATTATGTCACACATAAGCAACTTTATTACTTAAACAATTGGAATAAAGCATGCTACATGCATCGCAGAAGATCTCTGAAAATAATCTAGTGTGACTAAACATGCTGCATGAGAACTAGCTTTTGCGATGTTTTGTAATAGTTTGATGTTAAAAAAAGGGAAGGGGGGGGGGGGGGAACTCTCTTATGCACAACGCATTTTTTGTAACATCGTGTAATCTATAACTGTGGTTACAGCAGACATAGGTAAGTTCCTTTGCGAATTTTGAAACAACATTAAATCCGGACAAAATAATCACCACACATAACCTAGAGACAAATAGATACTCTGATTAAGCGATGCTGCGTACAAGGTATAAATCCACATAATCAAGCTGCAAGTCTCTCAAAGTTCTGTCTAATGCTTTTGGCACATCTTCTGGATCATGATCAGCATTCCTGCAGATCACCATAATTTCAGCCGTAGGCAATCCTTTGTTCGTAGGAATGGTCCTACTTGCATCACTCTAGCATAAAGGGTGAAAACAAATGAAATTTAATCAAAAATTCAAAAGCTAGAACAAACCAGAGTTTAGAGGTAATCCACAAATCCTCACGCTTCACTACACCCTCCTCAAACAGCTTTTTCAGTACTGAACCAATCTGCAGTGGCGAGATCGAATCATTTGCAGTTGAATCATGATACCAAAGTTTAACAAAAATATGACTTTGCATCAATTCTTATAATTACCTCCTTTTCGTTGCCATATATATGAGCACAATCAATATGCCGGTAACCAGCCTGTAACTTCCAAACAAAGCTATTTAGTTGAGTGCCAAAACACCAATGGGATGTTTAAACAAAGAAGCAAAAGAGAATTGTGTACACAGTCACTCAGTCTTCCTTTTCTTTCATTTTTATGTTCCTACTCATGTCATGCCACCCTTGTTATTTTATAAACGAATTTAACGCATAAATAGACGCCATCAACCTGCTTTATCCCTTGGGCCAGGGAGAAAAAACAATATCTATCCTCAATCCAATCCTTTTTCTATTCTTCAGTCCTATAATTTTTAACACATTGAGACATCCTCATTGCAAGTTTTTTAAGGTAGAAATGAAAATGTTACAAATGGAAAATATTTATATTAATTTCTCATACAAACTTTTGACCTTCCCGCAATTCACATTGTCCACTTGCTCGGAAACAAAACTAATATAAGAGGACAACCCACTTTTGGCCTACCCACGTTGCAATGTTTCTCACCCACTTCACTTTTCATACTCTCTCTCTCTCTCTCTCTCTCTCTCTCTCATATTTTCCAGGCTCAACACACTTTGCATTGGTCTCAAAGTTGGTTTCCTTTCTCCGCCAATAAGCATGAGAATGTTAAGAACTCAAACCTTTTGCACCGCCATATGACAGCTTCTGGATGAGTTTAGAAAGAAACTAGCTAACAGTAAGCCCCTCCATTTGATTTAGTAAGTGAACCTAGATTTTTTCCAGAGACAGTGATGACTATCAACCTGAACCTAAAATCTTCATTCAAATTACTATGAACTAACAAACACGAATGACCACAGTCCGACACCTCAAATTTCAAGCATTTAATCATCCGAAAGCCTAAAGAAATAACAAAGGAATAGCGCGAGATCGAGAGCACAAAACGAGAAGAAGTGAGAATGGACCTTGATGGCAACAGCAACGGCGTCGCCAACGACACCGGGAGAAGACTGCCATGTTCCCAAGCCAACGGAAGGGATCTGAGCTCCAGTGTTCAGTGGGAAGAATCGAATCGCGTTGCTCGCCATTGTTTTTCTTTCTCTGCAAACAGATTATGAACCAAAGCAGACGAAGATACTACTGAAGGAAGCCAAAAGTGAGACGAAGATGAAAACAACGCGTGGTCGGGATGAATAATGAAAGCCAAAGGTTTCAGGCGGCTAGTGGGCGCGGGAGTTTCATGACGCTTTTCCCTCTTTTACTGCCACGTGTACTCACGCCTCCCATTTCACTTCTTCACTAAGAATTTTGGTGAATATTCTCTGTTTAAAACATTTACGACAATTAGCAGGGCAGGATTTAAAGTTCAACTTAGAGGATACTTACAGAATTATTTACAAATTTTTTATTAATAATATTCTCACATCGATAACAGGATTCAAGCATATATTAAATATATGTGGGTATAATTTTTCCCGATTATGTTTAATATCTTTAACTATATATGGACTCCAATTGTGAAAGTATTCAAAAAAAAAAAAAATCATTTGTACATAACTAAGATATATTGAACTTAGGGGGTGTTTGGTTTATTTGAAAAGTGCTTTTAAAAAGTATTTTTTTTCAAATCGAGATAAATTCCTCAACATATTTATTTCGTATGCTGTAAAAATACTTTTAAAACCATAATTTTGATTTCATCTAAACATTTTTTCAGTTAAAAAAAATTGTAACAGTTGAAGATAATTGCACTAGTCCAAATTTAAGTTCTTATTGGCAAAAAAAATTTTCTGTAGAACTTCTCACCAAAAAATCCCAATTTTTTTTTTATTATGATGGTGGCTCAATATTTGGAAAACTGGATTCTTCAAGAACAATGGATTATGGCTACGTTTCAGTCTTCAACTTCTAAAGCCGATTGGTTATGAATTGAAGTATTGAAACTCACCGCATAAAGTCTGCGTCTTTGAATCCGCACAACGGTAACACCGCCCCACAATCGCGATTATCATTTGGCGCCGCACATTGATTCTTGCTGCTGCTTTTGGGTTAGTGCATGGAAGGTTGCGTTACGGAGCCATTTGGGGGCTCATCTTTTGGGTTAATGTGTGAAAGCTTGCATTAAAAACCGGTTTGGATGCTCACCTTGCGTGTGGACCTAAAGCTCATCCTTTTTAGATTATTTAGATTTGATTTGAATAGTTCAAATTTAATATTTTTAAATAATCTCTTTTAGATTATTTAGATTTGATTTGAATAGTTCAAATTTAATATTTTTAAATAACAAAAATATTTTTTAAAAAAGTAGTAGTTAAGAAATTATTTTATTTAAAATTTTATACTCATTAAAATAATTATTTTTAAAAAACAAAAATTAAAAAGAAATTAATTCTAGACTGTCCATGTCAGATCTAGATGGTCTATATAAGCACCCAAACCGGTTTAGTAACAACGAATAAACTTATTGGATAAACTCGTAAGTTATAACCCTTAAGTAAGTAGACATGGAAATTTTGTTATTTATTAATTTAATTAATAATTTATCGTTCAATGTTAGTATATGGAAATGGTTTGGTCTCACCATATTAGAGTCGCCGTACATTATGTTTCTTTAGCCCCTATGCCTCGTTCTCTACTCTATGGGTGGCAATACAGATTGGATCTCATTTCTTTCTTGTTTTTCTAATGCGTCACTGATTCCCTTAGGATTCCGTTGGAAGTTAGTGTGATCCCCCCCAAATTATTCCTTCAGGATCGACGCCCAAAAAAAAAAAAAAGTCTAAGAAAATAGACGACACCCTGGAAAAATATGGTACTCCTCCGGTCCTAATTATAAGACCCAATTGACTTATTTGAGGAGATTAAAGAAGCAAGTTAAGTTGGTTATTTATAATAAATAAATGTTGTTATTCCTAAAATATCCTTGCTAATTAAGTATATTAGCTAAAACTATCATTATTAGAAGGATTATCTTGGAAAAAAATGCATAAATATAAGAGACAAAATGGATTGGGTCTTATAATTAGGACTAAATAAAAAGTCAAATTGGGTCTTATAATAAGGACGGAGTATTATTCTTCGTGCCATATTGCAATAATTTTCATTAATTAAAAGTGGGTGCCTCTCACAGTATACTGACCTTGAAAGGCAAGGGCAAGATGCCATCATAGTTGAAAGCCTCACTTTCCAATACTACTTTTCCTACACATATTTATCCTGTATGAATACTCTCTGCAGAATTTATATAAATTTAGCGGATGTGGTGGAGTGGTTCAAGATAATAAAAACCGATGGATATTTAGTTTTAGCTACGATCACAATTATTCCACCAGCTATTACAAAGTTAATTGATTTTATACATAGGCTTAACTTTGATGGTCTAGGGGAATTCGGAACACCCTTTTAAAGATCTAGTTGATGATATCAAGTTGCTAGCGCACAGGGGTTGGTAGGCTATGTTTTGTCATGTTCATAGGAATCCATACCCCTTGCTGTTTAGTTAGCTAAACTTTCTTATAGGCTTGATGAAAATTTTTGTATCCTTAATCACACCCTTCACCTCTCGACAGTGATGAAGGAAGTTAGGTTTTCTCCTATTATTTTACTCTGTTTTGATTTAATGGCTTTCAGTTCTCATTCAAAAATTGAATCAATAACAGAAGATGGATTATGCATTGAAAATAGTAGACTTTGGAACATAGCCGTTGTGGATAAACAGCCATGGACTTTTGGCTGCAGAGAATATCAGTGACGTCCATTTAAAAAAATGCTGAAATATGGTCATATACTCCTTCATATGCTGGAAAGTACCTCACATGGTAAATATACCATGTAAACAGGATATACTTGGCTGCAAGGTGGCCAGCACAAGGTTTAAACAGGTCAAATTCATCTATAACTGGTTTGTCATCCCTATAAACACTCCATTATTCTGTGGTTAAATGTTCATAAAAAAGGTTTAGCCAAATAAAGGCCGCCATACATGTGGATTGGTATGAATGAAACTAGTTGTTTGTTATGTGAACAAGACGCTGAGTCAGTTCACCATTTGCTTGTTAAATGTCCATATGCTGCAAGCCTTTTAGATGTTGTTCATTGTTGGATGGACACCCCCAACCGTACTGTCCTAAACGACTTCTCAGGTGGCAACATTGGTTAATACATTCAGGAAATGGCAAAAATCTCATATTCAATGTTGTTGGCTGTGGTTTGGCAGCAACTGTGTACTGCCTATGGAAAAAAGAAAGAAAGAACCGGAAATAAAGTAAAAACAAAGGTGACTTCATGAAAAAGAGAAAATACAGAGAAAGAAGCATGAATAAAAAATAAAAGAAAGATAAATAAAACTGATTAAATGATCGTAGAGGGATTGAATTGCTAAAACTGAAAGAGTGAACACAGCAGTCATCCAGTAATCCATAAAATTATTGATGTCAAGGACCAAATAGCAGTTTTTTTTTTTTTTTTTTTTGCCAACAAGGACCAAATAGCAGTTACAGGACACGTTTTGCTGACTAATTGTACATAGTACACAAATCCCACTTTCCCAGCACCCTTACATCTGAAAGACAGATTGGGCTTCACCTATTCCTTCTACTTCTCTGATTGGCCACTCAGCTGACTGCTCAGATTTCACCATCCCAGAGTTCCTCAACAGATCTGTAGGCTCCATAAGTTTCATGGACAAAAGAGGCACCCCTGACTAATCTTGCCTGAAACAGCATAAACCACCGTCATAATCATCATCACATTCTATATCATAATTGTTGTCTTGGCCATTCATGGAAGACTCAATTTCAATGATACTTATACGGGTACAGGGCTACAGATTTCCATATCCCATTTGCATGACCACGTAACCACGTGGAAAGATCTCATTCCTTGATATTTTTATTTGTTAGTCTTGACTCCTAACCATTCATGCAGGTTTCAAATACCAAAATTTTAATGCTTCCACAGGCGTGATAAATTTTCTTTTCACTCTACGTTTTTACTGTTTCACGCAGCTTAACACAGCACAATCATCTATCCATGTCTTCATGTCTTGAAATAGCAAAAAGACTGAAAGTAAAAATAAAAAACTAACCTGTTGAATTTCAGAAAATTTTGAAAATAAATCCTCAGGTATAGACCAGTCGAAAATGTCAAAGTTCTCTTTTATCCTAGCCTCATTTGTGCTCTTGGGAAGCACACTATGACCCATTTGCAGTCCCCAGCGAAGAGCTACTTGTGCAGGAGTTTTTTCTAATTTATCAGCAACTATATTCAGAACTGGATGCGTCAAAACGTCACTTTGAAGCCAGGTTGTCCCAGGAGAACCTAATGGTGAATATCCCTAGCCATATGCAATTAAACAACCTCCGTTGAAGGAACAAAAATAGTCTTTAAGATCTAGTTGCCAACTGTCACAAACCTAAGTACAATACAGCTACTTTTCAAAATCCGTGAACTTACAGAGAGGTGGACACCTTTGGACTTGCAGAAAGCCCGCAACTTGTCCTGCTGCCATGAAGGATGACACTCTACCTGATTGACAGCAGGAGGTACACGTGCTACCTCAAGCAAGTCCGCCAGCTTTTTGGATGAGAAATTGCTCACACCTATGGCTCGAGCCTTGCCAGAGTCATAGAGTTCTTCCATTGCCTTCCATGTGCTAGGAATGTTGGGTGGCAAAAAATTTTCAGGCTGAAAGCCCACAGACCCCTTCTTCATTACAACTGGCCAGTGGATCTTAAAAGGCAAAGTCATCAATTTACAGTTGATTTAATCATAAATAAGTTATGCATCTTTATTGAAGAATTGGAATAAGGTATGCTACATGCATCACTGAAGATCTCACGAAAAGTAAAGTTCAGCAAGACATGCTTCATGGCAAATAGTTGTCACAATATTTTGTAATAGCATTTTCTGAAACATCATGCGATCTATGCAACAAAATGAGGTTAATTACAGCATACAAAGGTAAATCCCATCACAAATCTAGAAGGAATTTAAATCTAGACTAAATAATCACTACATGTAACCAAGAGAGAGATGGATACTCTGATTAAGTTATACTGCATACAAGGTATAAATCCACATAATCAATCTGCAAGTCTCTCAAAGTTCTGTCCAATGCTTCTGGTACATCTTCTGGTGCATGATCATAATT